AGACATTGGCAGTTGTTATACATAATACAGTGAAGATATAAAAACTCAACCTCAAGTGGCTCTAAAAAAAATAAATTATTTGGAATTTTAGGTTTCATTAATAATTTCAAAACAATTGCTGAACTAATTCGGCGCCTCTCCTTAAGGTAAGTGGACAGGCTTTTAGCGCACCCAAATCGACAAAAAAAGGCACACAACACCAAAAGGCGAAGGCTTACAAGGCTGCACCCTCTGGAATACAAAAAAAAATAAGCAAATAAATAAATAATGTAAATAATTAGTTATAACATGTAAATACTAAAAAAAAGCTCACATATAGTTTAACTTTATAGAGTCATAGACAATAAGATGAAATAAAAAAAAAATTAAAAAAATGTATCCGCATTGATACAATCCAGGAACAATGAATTCCAGTGTAAAAAAAGTCATATAGTATAATAAGTATATATAAGTCTTACTTTTTTGAGTTGTTTGTATTAATTACTACGACTACTACAATTAATAAATGTTTAAAATTTTCATTTATATCAATTTACTTGCGACTGCTCGTGAGGAAATGTAAAACTCAGCAAAGTCAATTAAAGTCTTGGGGTACTCACAAATACAACAATGGCCAGAATGTGTCCGAGGATTATTAAATTTCTGAAATAGACAAATATAACAATAGCAATTTGGCGCAGCTCGCCGGGGCCGAGACAGCATCCGAGACAGAGAGCGAGACCAAGTCCGAGCAGAGCGAACATGTCTGACGCACAAGTTCGAGCCGGCCACAAGTCATTCGCAACCTCGGCCAGGGGGTTGCCATTGCTAGACCGGGCAGCGACGCGATGCGTTGACAGCGCTGCCAGCGTGGGCATCGGCTTTGGCTAGCTCTGGCTGTGGCTCTGGCTCTGGCTGTGGCTGGCCCACACATGCGCCGGCCACATGTGTGCTGCGAGCGTGTCGCAGTCGTTGGACTCCAATGCCAATTCCAATTGAAGTTTCCGCCCCGCCAATTGGGCGGCCAGTTATGTTGGATTGGTCACTGCTGGTTGAGTCTGGGCTGGCGGGCCGGCAGCCGGCGGAATTGGGGTCCGGCCACGGACGGTTTCTATGCCCAACGGCCAATGGGGGCCCATTGGGCAGCTCAGCGAGCAGAAATGTTTGGACACGCGCTCTATCTCGCTCGCACACACATAATAGCACATGTGTGAGTTGAATGGCATGCATGCATGCTTGCATGTGTGTGTGTGCTGTGTGCTTCTGTGTAGCATGTGTGCGTGCGAGCAATTTGCATTTCGTGCGTTGAGCTGGCGACATCTGGCGGATTTTTTGTGCGCGCTAAAAAGTATGCAATGCTTTTTATTACACGATCATTTCTGTTGACCATTGGCGTTGCCTACTTTCGTGCGTTGCTATAAAGTTTATGGCACGCGATCGAAAATTAAAAATGCGTTTGTTTCTTTTACATTTTTTCTTTAATTTGTATGTATTTTTTTTATATTTGTATTTTGTAACACAGACAACTATTTTAATTATTAATTTACGCTTTGTATTTATTATTGTTTATGTTCAAAAAATTACACACACTTGAAAAATATTTGGTTTTATTTTCGAAATTTTTATTTTTAAATTTTTAGTTGCACATTTCGCTCGCTTTTTATTTCTGCTGCGATTTAAGTATTTTTGTATTTGTGCATTGTTTTCTTTTGTTTTTTGTTTTAGTGTAAAGATTTTTTTCTTTATAGCTATAATTAAATTTTCTAATCATGTATGATAGTGTTTAGCTTGTTGGGCTTTGAATTTTGGATTTCTTTCGTCTTCGACTTCGATTTCGAATTCAAAAACTTTGTGTTTGTTGCTGTTAAAGAAAGAAAGAAAATAAAAACGAAAATGTTTTTCTTATAGAGTTGAAAATAAAACATAAGTATTTTATGATTTGTATAATATTTGCATTTTTATTCAATTTTTCTTGATTTTCTATATGAACTATATGTATAGGTATATAGATAATGTATATGTCTTGTCGTGTCTTGTCTTGTCTTGTCTGAAACATAATTGATTTGAAGAATTTCACAAAAACGAAAAACTAAAACATTCTCTTCTCTTTCACTCGCTCTTTCTCTATCTCTCTCTAATAAATTATGCACGATAAACTTCATAGTTGGAAAAATTGCTTGTAGTGTTGTCGCAAGGGGGGGGGGGGTTGACAGGGGTGTTTGTTTAAGGGGTGCGTGTGTGTGTGTGTGCGGCAACAGTAGAAGCAATTTTTACTTTAAGTATTCTTTTACTTTTCTTTTTTCTTTTTTTTTTGGTAAATTGAAATCCAAAACAAAACAAAAAACAAAGAAAGCTGAAAAACCAAAAAGGAAAAGAAAAAAATAAGTTAAAACTAATTTAATTCTTTTTCGATTTGAATTTTTCGCTCGCCAAATAAATTTGTACTAAAAACAATTATTAAATATTAATCAAAATGTGAGTTCTTTTTATATATATTTAAAAGTGTGTTTTCTTTTCTTCTTTCAATCAAATAACGAAAATCAACAGCAAAAACATTTATGCAAAAAAAATTGGTTCATTTCTCGTATTACTTGCTACCTTCTCCTTCGCTCTCTTTCTCTCTCTATCTCTTTCTTTATCTCAGGGAAGAAAACAAATACATACGTTAGTTCCTCAGTCTTCTAAATCTAGTTGTTTGTTGTTGATGTTTTTTGTTTTTGTTTTTTCTATAATTGTTAATTGCTTTTCGCTTGAAGTTTTACGTACAAATTTAATTAATTTTTCACACATTTTTCACGTGCTCTTTCTGTCCTTTTCTAATGCTCAACTGCAGCTAAATTTTTTGCTTTTGCCTTGTCACGAATTTGTGTTTTTTCTTCTGCTTCTTCTTCGATACTTTTTTTAATTGTTTACAAAAAAAAAATGTGTTTACATTTATAGATTTATTTATGTATGTTTTTTTTTTGATTACTTTCCGTTTTTTTTTTTTATAGTTTTTTTTCTTCTTCCTTGTCTTTTTTTTGTGTTTTTTCTTCTGCTTCTT